CGCGTTTTATTCTGATCGCTGTTTGAATGTGTGACTACTTTCTTTTGAGCGTATTGAGAAAGTAGTAAAGCGGCTCTCACGTGATCGTTTTAGATCAATGCCATGCTCGCATTCAGTAAACAGGAAGCCAGTATAGCGTTGAACTTGGAGTCGGAAAATAGCAGCAATTATGATTTAATTACCTTAGAAACTCATAAATTGGAGAACAAAATTTTTTTTATGGAAAAGTGTTTGATGTAATTAGTAACTATAACTAGTGTAATGTTCCCAGTACTGGTGGTAATGGTGTGTGTTTCTTTTGCTCACTCATCCGTCCCGCAGCACTCCTCCGTGAGAGCGGGGGTGGGGTGTTGCACACATTCCGTTGCTGTTTCTCACCAGTATCAGCTGATGGAGGGCTCTAGTTTCGTTGCGCCGTTCGTGTCAGCGGACACGGTAGGGTCGGGGAGGGGGGCGGGGCATCACGGTTAGCCTGGCGAGTGGCCAAGCAAAGCCTGGCGGGCTGCCAGGCTTATAAAGCGCTGGGGGAAACCCTGGGTCACTGGTTTGTTAACCAGACCAGATATAAGTGATTTGGTGTAATAACAAGATAACTTTTGTCTGTTCCCCTTCTCAGGTACCCTTCCTCCATATTTACACCACCACACTGTAGGGTTGTCACGGTAACCGGTGTAGCGGTAAACCCCAGTAAATAAGTTGACAATAATAATAACCGTCTTGTTTTTAAAAAAAAAAACTATATTATCTCGGTGGGTTTACCGTGGCTGCGGTGTAGGCGCGTGACCCTTACCAGCCACCGTATCATCTGCTGAAGTTGCCGGCGGCACATGCGCGCTTTGTTGTTTACAACCAAAACTTTGTTGAAGCTAAAGCTGAAATAATGGCCAAAGGAGGAGACGGCAGCGCTCAGGACATTTATTATCCCTCAAAGAAGACAAAGTGGGACGTACGGGCATCTTTTGGATATATGAAGAATGCCGAGGGACAGTTGATAGAAGACGGCTATCCTGTTTGCAGCACGTGCAGAAAAAGTGTCTGTGAAAGGCAGCAACGCTTCAAATCTCATGACACATCTGCGTGACCATCACCCACAACTCTACAGTCAACGCAAGGCAAGCTAACGTTAGCGTTTTAGCTAAAATGCGTGATCCAAGGATTTGGGTTGAGGGAGAATGCAACGAGTCGCTATATAAAGCAGCCGCAGCGCCGCTACCCGCATATAAACCGTGTCGCGGACACCGCCATGTTGAAATGACGCTATGCATTACGGGGCTCCCAGGGGCAGATAAGAGTTGGTCTCTCTCCGAGAATAATTATGAATTTAACAACGATTACTGCCTGATGACATTTTCCCACATCTGCAAAGCTCACTGGAAGGACACAAACCGAGGACAATATTTTCCTGATATAGGGTTTATTACTCAAGTAAGGGTAAAAAAGTATCTGATTAGAAGGCTACTGGAGTACTGAGTATCATTGATCTAATATTTTTAAAATGATGACATCAAACCTTCAGCTCTTGCTGGGTAGGTTCGCGGCCGAGTGTGAAGCGGCTGGGATGAGGATCAGCACCTCCAAATCTGAGACCATGGTTCTCGACCGGAAAAGGGTGGCTTGCCTACTCCGGGTCGGGGGAGAGGTCCTACCTCAAGTGGAGGAGTTTAAGTATCTCGGGGTCTTGTTCACGAGTGAGGGTAGGAGGGATCGGGAGATCGACAGGCGGATTGGTTCGGCGTCTGCAGTGATGCGGACGCTGAGCCAATCTGTCGTGGTGAAGAGGGAGCTGAGCCAGAAAGCCAGGCTCTCGATTTACCGGTCGATCTACGTCCCAATCCTCACCTATGGTCATGAGCTTTGGGTAATGACCGAAAGAACGAGATCGCGGATACAAGCGGCCGAAATGAGTTTCCTCCGTAGGGTGGCCGGGCTCAGCCTTAGAGATAGGGTGAGGAGCTCGGACATTCGGGAGGGACTCGGAGTAGAACCGCTGCTCCTCAGGATCGAGAGGAGCCAGTTGAGGTGGTTTGGGCATCTGGTCAGGATACCTCCTGGACGCCTCCCTGGGGAGGTGTTTCGGGCATGTCCTGCCGGCAGGAGGCCCCCGAGTCGACCCAGGACACGTTGGAGAGGTTACATCTCCAATCTGGTCCGGGAACGCCTTGGGGTCCTGCTGGTGGAGCTGGTGGACAAGGCCGGGGAGAGGACGGCCTGGAGCTCCCTAGTTGGGATGCTGCCCCCGCGACCCGGACCCGGATAAGCGGAGGAAGACGATGACGACATCAAACAGACAAAAAATAAGAAGTTATGGGTAAATACTGGTATTTTAAAGACTAAAGGGGAAAAATGTAAACAAATAAACAACATAATTACAAAATAACACATTTCAGGCAGAATTTGGACACAAACTGAGTACAATATTTTCCCGATATACAGCGTTTATTTAGTTGTCTGAAAATGTAACACGTTTAAAAAAATACAGCGATAATACTGAAAACCGTGATAATTTTGGTCACAATAACCGTGAGGATAAATTTTCACACCGTGACAACCCTTCTACACTGTCAGCCGAGTGACAACACTGATGTGACATGTAAACATGGGGGCCAAGTACAGTTATAACTGTTATAGCATGGGCGGGGGTCTCCTTGGCGACACTGACAGCATGTCTGTTTTTATCAAAATAAGAGCACTTTATACCCACGTGGATTATTTATTAACGTGGATTTATTTTTATTGTCTATATTTAGGCCAGCAGCACTGTGAGGAAACCGTTTCAGTTGTGTTCAAATTACCAGTTATTTTAATGCCACTCACCAGAAGCATCATACATAAAGATGATCTCCTAATCCGGCTTTAAAAAAGAACGATGTCCAATAAGAACCGAGAAACACATTTAGATGATCAGAACACGTGTTAGGAGTTTTGACCCTGGTCCATCCTGGTGTCAGGCTGCTGTTCCTGCCTAAGAAGGCTGGGCGTCCAAAAAGCACTAGTGCTGTTTCATTTAGCATTGTTTTGACTATTTCTGTTTCAACACATTTGAGCAAAATGTAATGAAATAAAATTCACTATGTCTAAAATAATTTAATTGTAATTGTAAAATCTTTGAAGCTCATTACATATTGAATTTTTGCTCATTAAAATGCTTCATTTTTATTAGAATAATCTAAGATGATGAGTTCACACCACAAAAATGAAGTTCACATTTTAGCAACTATGGTACAGCTTTGACTGACGTAGATGTTCAGGGAGTGGAAAAGTCCCAGAAGACAACTTTACCAAAGCAGGAAGCATGAAGTAAAAGCCAGAACTTGTTTGATCGTCACTGCTAATGAGGGGAAAAATGAATTGATCGGATCCTTTTCTTACCTTTTCAACATTGTTTCATGTAAAGTTTCATTCTGTACAAAGTTTAATTACAACAATCCAACGAGACAGAGCCTGGATTTGTGTTCTGAACAGTTTCAACATGTTTTAAAAGGAGACGTGGGTGACGCGTTAAAAAGCGACACCTGCTCAACATTAAAACTAGGGCTGGGGGTAAACGATTATTTTTAAAACGATTATTCAGACGATTATTTTATCGACTAGTCGACTATTCTAATGACTATTTAGAGCAGGGGTGTCAAACTCAAACTCACACGGGGCCGAAATGAAACTCTGGGACGGAGTCGAGGGCCAAACTTCATATTTTTTTGAAAAAGTGACGACAAATTTGCACATTTTCTTTATCAACATCTATGCAATTTTGAACCTTTACGCTGGTTAAATGTTGAAAACACGATCCTGCACCATCATTTAGCACTCATTGTGTTAGTGAATGATCCTTACTCACTACCATATGGGATTTCAGCCAAGATAATCAACATTTGCTATGCTAAACATAATAATAAAGGGGCAACAGCAAAACCACTATAACTAAATAAATGAACAGACAAACAAATAAAAGAAATATAAATGAATAGTATGCATAAATATATATTCACATTAGGGCTGAGTGATATGGCGTAAAATCAATATCACGATATATTAAGGATTTTGCCTCGATAACATAGGTGGACGATAACTACAGGAATGTGCAAAAACAAAAGTTGTCCACTAGATGGGGCTGTCACATGTCTTACATTGAGTCACATTTTTGTGTGACTCAAGGTGGTATGGCTTCTTAAAGAGACATGAATGTTGCCAACCTACACACATCTTTTCATTTTTTACTATCAGATTTATTGAAATGTGAAAAATGATCTTGTTAAGAGACAGAAATTTCGATAACGATAAATTTTCGATTTATTGCCCAGCCCTAATTCACATGGATATTTAACAAACACGAATGGCTTTATTCCCATATTTAGTTATGTTCATCTATTGACGGCTCTTTTTGAGACCTTAATTAAACCATCCTGTGGTTTTTGGGATGTTTTGATAAAGAACAGGCAGAGGCAAAAACATTATCATCAGTGGCCTGTACAACAAAGTGGGCTGGCGTTTGACTGTAAATCTGACAGCTTAGATCAGATAAAACAAAGATCTGTAAAATACCAAAGATGAATCTGGTTTTACAAATAATGTAATAAACATAACTCTGGAGATGTGTGTGACTGGTTCAAACACCAGCTTTGGGACACATCAGTAGTAACTGTCATTTCCTGCCACCCAGCATCAAATGAACCTCTTTACAATGAACGACAAAAGTGTTTTCTTGTGTTTATAGTTGCCTCGGCGTTCTGTCGGTGAAGGTTGTTCTCAACAGGATGCTGTGCTGTTTAAAATAATTTCAGATGATCCCGCTGGGCTTCACATGGTCACCAACTGTGTCGCCTAATTACCCTTTTTTCATGTAACTGTCTAGTTTCTTTCTTTTTCTACTTTTTACAGCGGGAGACTTTATCATTCGTGTTTAGTTTACCTTAAGTGGTGGTAAATAAATACATACAACTAAGTAACCCAAAAAATAATTTCTAGAGTTTAACCTTCATCCTGTTTTTCTTTTTTTCTTTCAGTGTTTCACTGGCAAGCCACGATAATGGGACCTGTAAGTATTAGTGTATTTATTCACCTTTGATGTGATTTCTTATTTGTGATTCAGACACAATTAGCATTTTTATCCAAGAGTTCCAGTTCCTTCTGAGTTGTCGGTCTCAGTTTAGTCATAAAGAATACCAGCTCATGAGCTCTCTTCTTCAGAATGACAGTCCTTACCAGAGTGGGGTTTTCTTCTTGACCATACACTTCCCAACAGACTACCCCTTCAAACCGCCAAAGGTGAGCAAAACACGAGCTGCAGAGTTCCTCTTGCCTGTTAAAACATGCCAGTTTCACTTTTTTCAGTTTCCTGTTGTGTCTGCCCCCCGCCCCCCAATCCCTCTACTTTGTCTGCTTTCAGGTTGCGTTTACCACAAGAATCTATCATCCGAATATCAACAGCAACGGCAGCATCTGTCTTGATATTCTGCGATCACAGTGGTCTCCAGCTCTCACCATCTCCAAAGGTGAGCCGCCATGAGCTGTCCTCCACATTTCAGAGTCGTACAACTCGACAGTAAATGCAGATGTTTTCCTAAAAAGTGCTGTCACTAGTAGCAAAGTTTCTTGCTACGTGAGTTTTGGAGTTTGTATCACATGTCCAAACACACGAGCATCACTGAGGTTGGGCTTTTGGGGGAAAGGTGTTAACCGTGTTGTGTGCTCCATTCCAGTTCTCCTGTCTATCTGCTCCCTGCTGTGTGACCCAAACCCGGACGACCCCTTAGTACCTGAGATCGCCCGCATCTACAAGACTGACAGGGAAAAGTCAGTTGTTTTCTTGATTGTTTACTTGTTGGTCATTTCTCTTGTTAGCAGGTTTATTTGTAAAAGGGTGATGCATATTAGTGAAGATATATTTTAAACACAAATATGCAAGGTTAATGTCAGCTATACATAAATAAATGAAAACACATTGTTCTAAAAATGGCACCGTATTTGACATGGGTCCAAAAACAGCACTGAGTAAATTTACGCATTACAGATTAGTAGATCGATATATTGGTCAACCAATGTCTACCACTTTTATATATCAGCATCGACCAATACAACTCCCTAGTAACGCTAGTTTAAGATCAGGCCCATTTCCGGGCAGCCTGGTGCTGCTGCAGAATAAAATCTGCTTAATAAACGCTCCAAAACATGTTTTTCAACTAAAATTTCTTAAAATTTACCATTTTTAAATGTTTAATACTTGGTCAGTTTACTGATTTGTTTGATTAACTTTAGATGAATGACTTTAACACTGAGCAGTGTTCAAAATGTGATTCAGTTTCAGATGTTTAGTCAATCAACTGATGCTATTAGTGACATTTTAGCATAAAAATGAGGTGGAAAACATGTGGTTGTCGACTGAAAAGTGGCCCAAAATATCACCAGCATAATTCGGCCATTGGCTGACAATGATCTTTACATTTTGGAATTGATATCAGCAATAGGAAAGCCAATATCGGTCGACCTCTATTACAGATTAACTTCAGTAAAAGGAAGATACAAATAATCAGATAAAAGAAAATGAGTCAGACAGCAATAGCTGTAGAGGAGATTGAGGTCCCATAGTTGTTACGTTGTCATCCATGCCGAAGCTCTTAGTGACTTCTTGCAATCTAAAGTCTTGTCAGGTCCGATCGCTGACGACGAGTGTGGAGCTGCCCTGATGTCTGCTCTCTCTGAAGCCACCGTAGAGGCTAACAGAGCGTTTTGTGTAGGGATGAGTATTGGTGAAATTCTGGTGATACGATACGTATCATGATACAGGGGAGACGATACGATATATCACCATATATTGCGATACATTCAGCCAGACAGTATTAGCGAATTTTTTTAGACTGAAGTTATTGTAGGAAAATTCAATAAACAGTCCAAACTGATACATAACATGTTTAACATGAGGTATCTGAACCATAATACAGAGATTTACATTTCAGTAGTGGAAACAAAACTCACTGCACACTGCTGCCAACTAGTGGTCAGCGTTTGATTTGCACCAAAAGAAAAGAAAATACACAAATGTTTGCATGTAAATTCCCAAAAATTCTATACACGGCATTTAAATATTGACATATCGCAGGAAGAGTGTTGAGATATATTGCCATATCGATATTTTCGTACATCCCTAGTTTTGTGTCATTTCTAGGATTAAAACCTCTGTTAAGGTTGTGAAATAATTTCATTGGAAATTGTCGTCTAAGGTTAAATTTTTTCATACTCCTGTGCTTTGGTAATTTAGATTAAGGTCACCCCGCCCGTCTCTCCTAATGCATACAACACCGTTTGATCAAAGAGGTCCATCTGAGTGTTTTCCCCACAAAGTCGCCACCTTAATGTTACGATTTTAGCAGAAAGAGTCACCAAATCATCTGCTGTTGTGTTTTCACTCATGCTGCCAGTAGAGCACCGTGTCTGGACATTCACTACAGCTCGCTACTGCTGTGTAGTTTGCTCTGATGCTAGCTGTTCACCTTCATTCACTGGAGCCTCTTTCTCCGGTAGCAGAAGAACCTCCGGTTCAATCTGGTTATAAAGCGTTAATGCAGCTAGGTAAGTTTTTGTCTCTGAAACCTGCTGGTGAAATATTTTACTTCAATGTAACACAAAGCTCGCATTAGCACCCTGGCACTAGCATCAGCTAAAGTAAAACATTAGCAAACTGATCTAACGGAGATAAAGAATATCCTAACCGTGTCCGATACGTAACATACCAAAGCTTTTTTGGTTGATGGTTAGGAAATAACGGTTTGTTCTTCGGAGTTGGTGTTAGCATTGACAGCAGTTAGCATAACTGGGTGTGGTTCCTGGCCAGTGCAGATGTTTTTGATTCGAGAAAAGCTGTTTTCGTGTTTGCACCGTTTTATGTTTGGTTAATATTATAAAGTGTGATAAATTATCTTTTACATACAAGTAGAGATGTGTTCATACTGAATAGTCACTGTTTTAGTCAGAATGTTCTTAACAACTTCATCAGAAGCTTTCATGCTAAACACGCTAAAAGATCTGTTTGCTTTTGGCAGAATCGATGCAAAATACAAATTCAGTCTGAGCAGCATGTGGCTAAAAGATAAAACGGCTATGATAAACAGGTCATACGGGTCTAAAATGCACAAACGCAACGTTTAACGTTACATTTTTCAAACATTTGTAAGGAAGCATGCTAATAGCTTTATTTATAATATATTTTATAGAAACATTTTGATCAAATTTCTTAATTAATTAATTTTTTTTAATTTTTTTTTATTTTTTTGCTCTGATCCGATCAGAGTATCTGTCAATACCGAGTCCCGATCCGATACTTTTCAGGAAGCATTAAAATAAGATAAAAACACATCCAAGTTGTCCTTTAAGTTTCACTTTCACTTATTTGGGAAGGACACAGATTAAAATCATGTTAGTATTATGAATAGTAGGGATGTAAGAAAATGTCGATTATGGCAATATATTGTGATATTTTCCCCAGCGATATTATATTGATATTCAAAAGCTGTGTATCTAAAATATCGATATCGCAATATATCGTTTTATTTTTTTCTTGCACAAATGCATCGATATTCAAAAGTCGTGTATCTAATTTTTGGAAGAATTTACATGGAAACATTTGTGTATTTTCTTTTCTGGTGGTGCAATTCAAACGCCGACCACTAGTTGGCAGCAGTGTGTAATGGGTTTTGTTTCTACCATTGAAACGTAAATCATTCTGTTACGGTTAAACATGTTAAGTATAAGTTTGGACTGTTTATTGAATTTTCCTATAATAAATTTAGTCTAAAAAATCGCCAATATCGTCTGACTGGATGTATCGCAATATATCGTGATACATTGTATCGTCTCCCCCGTATCGTAATATGTACTGTATTTCACCAATACACATCCCTAATGAATAGGTTTAAAATTAGCAGCGTTGCTCTTATTTAAAGTTGTTTACACCCTCAACAGAGAAGGACCTGGCTGCAGACATCAGCTGGCATGTCACCGGAAGAACTTTCTAGCGAGAACAAGATGACGTGTCATTGCTTTTACCGGAAAATCGACGAGCGAAAGACCTCGGCCGGAAGTTGATCTTTTTTGGCGGCCGCTTTTGTTTCAACCATACTCGGCGGGTTTCAAAGAGGAAAGGTAAGGATGAAATTAACTAATTGTTGCAACCGTTCTTAGTTCATAAATGTAGGCACTCTAGCATTTAAAGCTTTACCAGAGAATGATTGCAAAGGCACTGTGTTTCATAGCTAATTGTATCAATATTAACATGCAGTCTTAAAACGAATGCAGGGAGTTCACAAGCTAGCTAACACAAAAGCTACATCAATAAAGCTATCAGCAATTGTAGCTTAGCTTTAACTTAGCTATTGGATTTTTCTGGTCTCCCTGTTTGTTAAAACAGTTAAAGTAATAATATTAACTTTATATATAATTTAGATATGATATAAAGACCACGATTTCTAATACTGACTAGACTGAAACGTTATTAATACCCTTTTTTAATTAAAAAGCGTAGATTTTCAGAAATTTGTAAGTGGTTTCGATCACTAGTTTTCATACGAGGCTAAAGTTAGCTTCCGATTCGGGAAATGGCTAAAGGGCTATTACACCCAATTTTTCTCTAGTCTGACCATTTGTAATCTGCTCTAGCTCAAAAACTACAACACATACACTCTTCAACCCTGTTTTAGATTATTCTGGGCTCATAGCAGAATGCATAAAACATAGTTTGTGATTTGTGAAACCTTCCTCTGATTTGTAAAACTTCAAAAAAGACAGATTTATGAATTTATTTTTCAGCATCTGGCCCACACTGGAACTGGTCCTGTGCACCCAGAAATAATTTTTTTTCTGGACAAGCTTAGCTTTCAATATCTCTAAATATTTTTCAGTTATTGCGTGTGGTATTGTGCTGAGTCATTCTACTGTGGTTGCACAAATCAGGTGTCCTGCAACAGGTACAATAACTTTGAAATAGTAGCCGCTTCTCTAATTAATGCCGCCCTCCTTCTGATTCTGTTTCAGAATAATCCTATATCCTTATAAAAAATAGATATTTGTGTTGACTGACTGCTTTGATCGGGTTTGGTTTATATTAATATTACCGGATTTAAGCACATTTAGCTGCAAATCATTCAGGAGTTACAGGCCTTTAAATATAGATCTAAAATGAATATGGGACTTCTTCAAGTGACACTGACAAAACTCCTTACATGTGCTTGTATTCTTCATTTGCTAATAAGATGTATTTTTATCTAAATTCCAGGACAATCGAGGCTTTGAAAAATGGAACCCAGGCAGTGATTTCAGATGGCGAAATCAAGGTAATGTTTAATTATAATAAATTAAGACTCTAAAATTGGACATAGGATAATGCAATCTCTTGTTATCTGTGGTAATGTTGCTTATTTTTAACTCTTGTCTTTACTCAGACTCTGTATAAGGATCTCTGCAGCGGTAGAGTGAACTCTGGCCTCATGTATCTGTGGCACAATCCAGGTGTCTCGCTTAAATTAAAGCAACGACTAAAGCCACTGATGTTCCACTTTGCTGATGCACAGGTAAATGTATACTGACTTACAATAAGCTGCATCACATTTTTCTATCTGGATGTGTGGTCAGTGTGCCACCTGGGTCCGTTGTCTAATGCTGAGAGGAATGTTTTGTTCATTTTTATGTTAACGTGTTTTATAGGTTGACGAGCTGACAGAGCGGATTGGTTCATGCTCGGGAATAGATAAACTAATAAAGAAGAGAGAGTTCCAGTTTCTGGACTTGGTGTTTGATGTCCTCGTTCCAGAGGTACAACGCTGTCTTCAGCAGTGATTGGTATAAAAGTTACTTTTCGAAAACATTTGACAGTGTGTGAATTAATCCTGCATGTTTTTCAGGTAACAATAAAAGTGTTGGAAAAATGGGACGGGATGAATCGATATGCAGCTGAGAAAGCCATGCTTCAGCAAATTCATTTGTACACAAAATAAAATGGTTGTGAAATTAAGTGTTTCTTTGGTTTTATTGTCTTTCACTCAAAATAAATACCAACTAGCTAAATACTTATCTGCTGTAGTAGTTAAATTCTGTTGCAATGAGCTGCTGTGATACACAATAGGACAGTAACTAATTTTTGTTGCTGGTGAGAGAGGAGTGTTGCTGAAATGTTTTTCACTGCTTCTGGGAGTCCTGTACTTTAGCAATTGGTGTAGGTCAAAAGTTCATCTTGGGCTTAACAATAAAACTGAATATTAAGCAACTACTAGTTTGTTTGCACGTCTTGAAAAGTCTTAGTTTAATGTGTTCTCAATTTTTCCATGTATGTGTTTTTATTCACTTTACAGCCTTTTATTGTTGTGTGTGTGTGTGTGTGTGTGTGTGTGTGTGTGTGTGTGTGTGTGTGTGTGTGTGTGTGTGTGTGTGTGTGTGTGTGTGTGTGTGTGTGTGTATATTAGGGGTGCAACAATACATGTACCCGTATCGAACCGTTCAATACGGAGCTTTCGGTTCAATACGCATATGTACCGAAAAATACAGGATTTTTTTTTTTATCAATTTTTCTTCTGACTATGAGATCAGTGGATCTGGGTGATCTGCGTTCGACTACTCCGCCTGAGGTCGCATTGTCGAGCGCAGATCCACTTAGCACTGCCCACAGCTTGTGCCCTCACCTTTCCAAGTTGGCACTGTGTTACTTGGTTGTACCAGGGACCTCTGTCCCAAGAGAGAGGGTGTTTTCCACTGCAGGTGACATTGTCACAGCAAGCAGATCTGTACTGTCAGCAGAACATGTTGACATCCTCATTTTTCTGAAGAAAAACATGGAAGTTGAGTAAATGGTATTTGGTTTGTATTTAAGTGAAACTTAAGTTATTTTTGTTGTATATGCAGCTAAGTGCCAGCACTCCAGAAGATGAGTGTGAGGGGGAGTTCCATAAAAGATTGGTTCATTTTATAGGGACCTTATTTGTTTAATTGCTGCTGAGAATATAGCCCAGAGGATGGCTATAGTATAGCTATTATTTAGAAAAAAAGCTACTTTGGTTTTCCACAGATTATTTTCTTAGTTACATAAGTTTGCTATTGTAGCATCATTTAATTTACAAAATTGTACTTTTGAGTTAAAACAAATATTTCTAATAAATTTCAATGAATGACAAATTAAAAAAGGCATGAATACTAATTTTTTTTGTATCGAAAAAATATCGAACTGTGACACCAATGTATCGAATCGAACCGAACCGTCCATTTTGTGTATCGTTGCACCCCTAATATATATATATATATATATATATATATATATATATATATATATATATATATATACATACACATACATACATACATGTGCTACTGTCATAAAAATTCCCTATCTGAAGGACAAAGGGATTTAATATTCAATTTTCATGCAATGTAGGTAACAACGTTATTTAAAAGTTTGCCAGTCCAGATTTGAAGAGTAAAAAAAATCCGTAATAAAAATCTTTTTCCGGTAAGTTTTGTTTTACAAAAAAAACTACTTCCTGTGAAAGTAATGACTTCTGGTTAAGGTAATGACCCACCGTATAATTTTTCTCTTCGATATGTATATGTTTATATACATATCGAAGAGAAAAACAACACGGTATGGTTTTTCTCGTCAAATCCAAACTACTTCCGGCGAAGGTAATGACCCGATGTCTTGTTTTTCCGGTTACGTCATTTCCGGTCACGGCAAAGACGCCAGCTGATGTCTGCAGCCAGATGCTTGTGCCTCATCATGCATCTGTATTAAACGATGCGCATTCCCGTGGCAGGGCAGGCACGTGGCATCTCTGCTGGTAGGCTAACTTTTCCCTGCGCAACACCTGTAGCTTACGCGCAGCTTCGGTGCTGCAGAAGAACAAAAAACCTCGACGATTTGCAATCTGTTGGCAATTTCTTTTTGTTAGTTAGCATATCTTTCTTTGTTGGTTGGCTCCGTGTTTTTGTCTGAGGTTGCTGTGAACTGGGATTGGACTGTTAAGCCGGGCGTACACTGTGACTTTTTCACTCGTAGCACTCAGCTTCAGCTCAGACTCTACGACTGTGCTCACACTGCACGACCCAGTTCTCTGATGCGACCTGACTGCTCACGCTGTACGTCTGGTAGCAACACGTCGGCCCTAAAAATATGCTAAAAATAGCAGTTTTTACTCAACACATCAGACTTTTTTGTTTTGCCTGTTGTCCTTCGGGAGTGCTGCAGGAGGACACACAGGGATTTATGGGGGTTGGATGAGGAAAACGAAATAAAGAAAGTAAATCTGTGTTTAGTGATCAGTTTAATTTGACATGAACACGACAAACACGCTTTCTTGACAATCTTTGTGAGTAAAAAAACGTGTAGAAACAAAAACGAACAGCGTGTGTTTTTAGGGAAATAGCGAGCGACCGGCGTTGATGCAGGATTGCGCATGCGCCGTGAGCGGTTCTGATAATTTTTGGGTCGCAGCTGCTCGCAGCGCCGCTTCAACAGTGCGATACCCTCACGAGGGACGAGCGAAATATTAAACACGCCAGAAGTTTGTGCGACCTCACGATTGCTGATCGGCAGCTGGTCACGTGGTGTTAATCGCCTCTCGTAACCCCCTGTACACTACACGCCGCTCGGCGCAAAACTCGCCCCGATCTCGTGGATTCTCGCACGAGTGGAAAATCGGCTCAAACAAGTGAAAAAGTCGCACAGTGTACGCCCGGCTTTAGAGGCAAACTGGGAATTTATAGAGAGAACGGCGATCAGCTTTGTTGACATCTGAAGGGGAAAGTTAAAAGCGAAAGTATTCAGTCTTGAAGGCAGCGAATCATGGAGCTGTGTCTTCTCCAGCATGTTGAATGCCCAGTATGCACACATTACAAGTGGCTGTAGCTCTGCCTTCACCGTCCAGTTTAAAACATCGCGGAGCTGAAGACATTTTAGGTCTCCTGAGGAGACACGTTAGCCTGCTTGCTAACACCTGCAGCTTGGTGTCTGAATCCCTGCCTGCCATAAAGTTGTTTCCGCACAAGAAACTGATATTATTGATGAATAATTGAGAAATTTTTTGAAATTAAAAACTAAGCCATCGTTATTCTATTTGAAAATCTGTATCGCAGGATAAATTTTAAAAGCTCTAGTGTCCATTTACAGAACAGGACTGATACTTTTTTATATCTTTATAGGTGATCTCTGGATGTTTTCATCCCTAATCCTACCAGGATTACAGATAATCTAGGACGTTAACACAAACTGGCCCCTAAATCAGATAATCTGTAAAAGTCAAAAGTTTGGGCAAGCTCGTCTATAATTCCTGAATATATTGTAACTTTGGCTCATTTGTTACTGGTCACTTAATCACCTCATTTAACAAAATGTCCATCTTAAATTAGTATTTCTGTTCCCGACATCGTTTCTTTCTTCCTGAGCAAGAAAAATGGAATTTAAAGTCTCGCATGATCAACAGCAACACTTCACACACCTCTAACAGATTGGCCCACTTTACGCTTCACAGGAAAGTGTTGCAGCTGCAAACATTTAGCAGTTTTATGAGCATCCGAGCACGCCACACACACACACACACACACACACATATATATATATATATATAATAAGAATAACATGATCAAGAGTATTACTTAAAACTGATCTTTTTCATCTCTGTTCACAGGTACAACAAAATAGCTCGGGAATGGACACAAAAGTATGCAATGTAGTGCTGGGAGAGAAACATGGCCAACCACCTCTAGGACGTAAGGCTAGGGGAGATCCAGATGTAAAGAGAAAATAAAACCATCCAAAACAAATGAAAAGTTTTAAACAAGTTCTTGTTGGTTTCCATTGGAGTGCTTTCTTTGAGCCACGCCTCCCCTTCACCAGAGTACCTGTAAAACTCCCTCTGCCTCCCACCCCCACCTCCAGCCCACCCTCTAGTGTACATACTGTTGACTCAAAGGTATAAACGGTCTCTGATCCCATCTCCTCCCTTCCTTGTTTTGTTCCACTTTGACATCCAAGCAGGCTGGGCTGTCACCAATTCCACCATTTTTCCATTTTCCTGCACGCCTGCATCCTTGCCTACCATCATGAAATCATTCCTTTTTTGTGACTAAGTCCTTGAGGGGATGTTTTTTATTCCTTTTGTTTTCTAGGGGGATGGGGGTCGGAGAGATGGAGGGATTTTTACACTCTGCACTCATGTTTTGTTGTAATAATTGTCTCCTCTAGAGGTGACGATTAAAGAAAGCAATTCTCACACGTGAGTCAAAGGGCACTCAGTATTTTATAAACTCATAACTCATCGCGGGCTGTGTCAAATGAAAAAAGTGCACATGGCCTTTTTTGCGCTTCTGTTGGATTTTATGAAAGGACTTGAATTTATTCACACACCTCATAGTCCCACTCCCCCACCCCTGCTCCTTTAACCTGTTCACCCATGTGGACCCCCCCATGCACACACACCTGCACGCACAGCGGTAACCCCATGTCACTACCACCACCTTTTCTTTATTTTCAAAGCGGAGGTTCTGGACCAGCTATTTAAGCAATTCATCTTAGTTTACCCTGTGTTTTTATTTCCTACCCCGTAATTCTTTAGGTTACTTTATTTGTCTATTTTTGTTTTGTTATTTTTATTTTCCCCTCTCCTTTTCCTTTTGCTTTTGTCAAATTAGCAGCTAACATCTGAAATGGCTATGGGACTGGCTTGGGCTCTGGGTGCGAGGAGAACCCACTCTTCTTGCACAAAACCTCTGTATATTGAATTACCTGAGAGGCTCGTTGAGCTTTGTGTGTTGATTAAACTGTGTAATAAAAACCTTCGACTCCTGTGTTGACTCATTCTCAGACCTTTTATAGATCTACAGACTTGAAAGCGTCACTGTCGCGTCCTATTCATGTCAGCTACAGAAACCGGATAGGATGGGTTATACCATCTGTGAAAGCATTCCAACACCGGCATCTGATAGCTACATGTTTCCCAACACATCCCATTCAAACACATTTATCAGTATCTTATTTAGAAGTCTACCGATAGCTAGCCATCAATTCAGTTCAGGGTTGTAACAGGGAGACGATTATATACACACATTTTTATGTGTGTGTGTGTGTGTGTGTAGGCAGAACATTTGTGTATGTACAGGTGCTGGTCAAAAATTAGAATATGACAAAGTTGATTAATTTCAGTGAATCCATTCGAAAAGTTAATCCATAGATCCATAGTTAATCCATAGATTTTTCTATGGGGTTTAAGGTCAGACAAGTTTTCTGGCCAATTAAGAACTGGGATACCATGGTCCTTAACCCAGGCACTGGTAGCTTTGGCTCTGTGTGCAAGTGCCAAGTCCTGTTGGATAATGAAATCTGCATCTCCATAAAGTTGGTCAGCAGCAGGAAGCCTGAAGTGCTCTAAAACTTCCTGGTAGACGGCTACGTTGACCTGTGACCTCAGAAAACACAATGGACCATCGCCAGCAGATGACATGGCACCCCAAACCATCACTGATACTTTACACATGACCTCAAGCAACATGGATTCTGTGCCTTTCCTCTTTTCCTCCAGTCACTGGGACCTTGTTCTTGAAGCACCAACTCCAGCTGCAGTCCACTCTTTGTGAATCTCCCCCCATTTTTGAATGGGTTTGTTTCACAATCCTCTCCAGGCTGTGGTTATCCCTTTTGCGTTTTTACTTTTTTTCTACAACATCTCATCCTTCTCTTTGCCTCTCTATTAATGTGCTTGGACACAGAGCTCTGGGAACAGCCAGCCTCTTTAGCAATGTGCAAGGTACCAGTGGTTGTCTTTTGGACAACTGTCAGGTCAGCAGTCTTCCCCTTGTGATTGTTTAGCCTGGACTAGACACTGTTTAAAGGCTTTTGCAGGTGTTTTGAGTTGATTAGCTGATTAGAGTGTGGCACCAAGGGCCGTCGACATTGGACCTTTTCAAAATATTCTAATATTTTGAGATACAGAATTTGGGGTTTTCATTAGCAATCATCCAAATTGAAAGAAATGAAATTTGAGATATATCAGTCTGTATAACGATTTCATCTAATGTACAAGTTTCACTTTTTGAATGGAGTTACTTAAATAAAACAAACTTTGTCATTATATTCTGATTTTATGACCGCTTTCTGCTAGGTCCTCGACAGAAAACACTTGTCGTCTTCCTTAGAATGGGTTACTTTGTCGCCCTCTGGTGGTTTTATATGTGTGCTATTTTCCAACTTGCGTGTCTCAAGAAGACACTTTGGAGAAACACGAATACTTTTTAAAAGTAAAAAAAAATTATTTATTTTTTTAAATGTATTTTCTGTTGATTTGAAATAACTAAATTAAATGTGGAAAATAGGGCACGCCACTTGTCACTGCGTTCAAGACGATTTTCTACCAGCAAAAACTTTTCTGTTTTGCTATATTACGTTTTACTCTATTGTGGAAATATACATTTACATATTTACATATTTGATACAACATTAACATTAGTAAACCTCTATTAAACCTCAGTTAACTCCGCCAACGGCGGCAAGGCATACCCGGAAGTGCATCGGAGGTAGTTCTCCACGTCGGCTCTGATTGGTTGCTGCCCAGTGACGTAGCTGGCTGGGTAGAGTTTAGTCAAGCTAACGCAGGTTGACCTTGCTGCTACGCGCTGACAGCAGACAGCTCACCTTCCAGAAGAACCTCAACAATCTCAATCTTAGGTGACTTGTCAGTCTTGCCCGGTTCTCCAATGGCTACGATATCCAGCTCGGGTTTCAGGTTAACCAAAGGTAAAGTATCACAGCTAGCTAATAGCATGCTAGTGGTAGCATTACATGATATATTTCATTAGTTAGTGTTTACGATGAAGGGAACATGTCTGCCACCTATTGCTGCATGAAACTTAAAGAGCCCAAAGTATTTATGATCAAACTCAACAGCAGTGGCACGTGCAATGTCTAAAAGTGGAACCAGTTTAAACTGATCCCCGGTTTAGTCGCCCTCCTGCTAAAACTGCAAGTCATCAGAGCTTTGCACTTTAAACGGGTTAAACTAAGCAGCTATTCTAGGTGAACAGCAGGGTTTCTTCTGTTCTTAGCCACATGATGCTAGGATACTTTAAGTATGTCCGGTTTTATTATGCACACCACATTGTTTAAAAATCATCTCATGAAACCAGTGATGTGTAGTCTGCTGGAGTTGTTATGCACACATCACTTATATTTACAAAGCAAAATGACTCAAATAAATCTGACCCATCATAAATCTGTATATTCATCAATATTTGGTGTCTTTATATAAATGCATCTAGTGATGGTTTTATTTTTCGTGACTTTGCTGTTAGTTGTTGTGCTTTTTGTCCTCCACAGAGCATTTTGTGGTGGCGGTGCCTGTGGTAGTCATTGCAGCAGCTGGAGGTTACCTAGTCAGCCAGTACTTGACCCGCCGGTGCTGTAAGAAGAGTCAGGTGAATGTGTGTGTGTGCAAAGACAGCCCCAAAGTGGTCCACAGCTTTGATATGGAGGACATCGGCACCAAAGCGGTGTACTGCCGCTGCTGGAAGTCAAAAAAGGTCAGAAATCTGTTTGTTTGCTCTCAAAAACAAACACGTTGTTTTAGAAATATACATTCACTATAAGAGATTTCTCAGAAGTGTGTTTCTTTGTAAACGTCATGAATGATTACGGTCTTGCTGCTTGTAACAGATGGCTTCCTGAGTTATCTCAGCCTGCAGGACTGATGAGCTAACAGCTGGTCTGGGCTAGAGGCCGACCGATGCATTAAACGTTTCTGTATCGGCCGTCGGACGAAAATTTTGTTTAAAAGCCGATTAAAATAAATAAAAAAATAGCTGAGCGTGAATAGTTGTTTCTTACTTGAAATTCCTAAAATCTTCCTTTTCAAAGTAGTTTGTGCTGCCAGTTATGCATTACACAGCTATAAAGATGTTGTATTGGTACTTTTTGTACATAAATATCAGAGCAGCAAAATTAGCTCTAATGATGCCTCCAGGAGTCGGATCTGGCAGCGCTCCTATTATTACTGTGCAATGCAACATGGATGATATAAAAGTTTGTAGGAGAACATTTACGTGCTTTAACAACCCTGACATTGAGCAGGACTATCACAAAAGCAAAACGAAACAAATAAATAAATACATTTATTAGTTAAAAAAAGAAAAAATTCTATAAAGAATAAAAATACAATCATTTAGTTTCATCGCTAAGATGGTTTTTTCTTTTTTTCCCCTTCTTCCCTTTTCCTCTTCTTTTCCCTTCTCTTCTATATTCTTTATTTTTCCCCTTTGCCTTTACAACTCCATAATAGCAAAAATTCATATAGACATCAGAGTAGACAACAGGCAAAACAACAACCTAATACATCACGTGTGTGTTGCATCTATCCCGGAGCAGATCCACCTTCATTTGCAGTATAGACATCATCTGTTCCATTACATATATTTGTTTAATTCTCTCTTTTATAGTTGGGGAGTTCACCTCCTTCCATTTTACTGTTATAATTTTCTTTGCAGCCAATAATAAAATACGGGCGATGTATCTTTGGTCTAAGTTTAATATTTCGCTTGACGTAGCCCCCAACAGATGGAACAGAGGGTGTGAAGGTAACTCCTTTCCCAGAATTTTTTCCAACTCTTCCTTTATGTCTCTCCAATATTTAAGAATAACTGGACAATTCCAGAATATATGACAGTAGTCCCCCACAGTTCCTCCAGCAAAGTGGAGACGGGGCATCTTTTGCAAACCCCGACACAACTGGGGGGGTAAAAAAGCACCAAGTTTTTATCTGCCACATTCTAATTCCCACTTCTCCTTTATATATTTTGTATTGTGTGTAAAGCCAGGGAAGAAGCTTCTATATAGATTAGAAACATAGACTTTTACTTGGGATTTGTTTTCCTGTGCGTGAAATAAAATATTGTTCTGTTGCATTTGGCTGTTTATAAAGTCTTTCTTTCTCTCTATGATTCATGATATAACGCCTTATCTGACAATATTTACACATGTCGTTCAGATCGAATTGTTCCCTAATCTGCGAGAACGTTTTAAGGTCTGCTTCTCCAAACAACTGGTCCAGAATTATAAGACCCTTATTGGCCCATTTTTTAAACCCGGAGTCTAATTTGGACGGGGGAACCCGATGCTATCCAGTATTGGCATGGCCCGGGAAATAGAACCCTTGTCATTCAGCATTTTCTTTATTTCCCTCCAGACCCTCAGAGTATGTTTTATAATAATGTTGTCTATTTTCAATTTCTGGACATCTTTTGGGTTAAGGAATGGTAAAACTGGCAGTTCTTTACCTTTAATTTCACCTTGAAAGCAAGTTGTACAATGTCAAACTTAAAATAAAAAGTAAAAAAAAATAGAACATTAACATGAACCAGTGTAAGAATAGAGCAGTGACAAACGGGCTGCATTCTGATTTTTAGCACACCCGCCCTTTTTATCATAAACCCTATTTCTCTAAACAGAGGCTGTTCAGGGTGACTTTCACACCCAAAAACCTTGTAAATGGCTAAAACATCTGGTAGCTAAGGATGTGTCTGCCTAGTCTGCACCTACACGGAGCTGAACCTTCAGAAGTGATTTCCTGTTGCATCCTGCTTCCCTCCTGCAGTTCCCGTACTGCGATGGTGCCCACACCAAGCACAACGAGGAAACTGGAGACAACGTCGGACCTCTGATCATCAAAAAGAAGGACGCTTAGCCCTACGACTGCGGAAGTCGACCGTCTGACTGCTTGTGCTCCCAGGCTCTCCCAATCATCATCGTTGTTTCTGTGTCACACCAACAGTTGAGCAACGCCCCAGAATCAGCCACATTCCACCCTGTTCCACACCAAACCATTCAGTCTATGAATCAGAAGGTAGTTTCTGGGCAGACGAGTGACCATCATTAGTCAGTTATGAGTGTGCTTCAGTCAAGCTAACGTGAGACTTTCGTCTGGTTTCACCTGTGTGCCGTTTCCTGTTCCCCCTTGTTCAAACCGGCTTTTCTTCTGCCTCTGTCAGTTCAGTATTTCAGTTGAGCGTGGGCCTTATCGCATCCGAACACAAGAATGTTGCATTGAGTTATTTCTCTGATTTTGCTGCTTGTTCTGAGAAAGTTCAAGTCAGGTTTGTCTTAAATGAAATGTTGAAACACTACCTGCTGTGGCGAGCAGACGCTGTTCTGGTGACCCGGCGTTGATCTGAAGCTTTACATGAGTTGGATTTCTACTGGTGTGCTTTATTCACTCGTCTGTGTTGTTAATAAAACTTGTCGAGTCACCTGGTTTGTTTATTCTCTGTGTGTGTGTGTGTGTGTGTGTGTGTGTGTGTGTGTGTGTGTGTGTGTGTGTGTGTGTGTGTGTGTGTGTGTGTGTGTGTGTGTGTGTGTGTGTGTGTGTGTGTGTGTGTGTGTGTGTGTGTGTGTGTGTGTGTGTGTGTGTGTGTGTGTGTGTGTGTGTGTGTGTGTGTGTGTGTGTGTGTGTGTGTGTGTGTGTGTGTGTGTGTGTGTGTGTGTGTGTGTGTGTGTGTGTGTGTGTGTGTGTGTCCAGCAGCACCGTGCACTGACCGTTTCCCAGCTGCAGCTGAATTTGTGCTGACCGCTAGAAGACGCTGTGTTTACACGGATGGCCCAGGCCAGACGGTGTACTACCGTGGGCCCCTGCTCCCATAGTGACACGCACGCACGCACACACACGGCTTCACGCGCACGAGGTGTCTGGCTGCGTGCCAGATGCAACGAGGACTCTCAGAAGAGGTGGAGTGGACTCCGGCGTTCCTGCGTGAGGAGTCACCTTCGTGAGGCGGTCTACCTCATGGATAAAACCTGCGTCTATCACCTGGAACGTGCTGTAAAAGCGGAGCTTCCGGGAAAGGCGTCCCGTTTAGGTACGCTAGCTCAACTAGCTGCTCCTAAAGCGAAGATACGACTTTAAACATGTTTTTTAAAAGTCTTTACTTTCTCGTATTTTCAGTTTAAGTTCGCCAGTGAGAGCCCTTCGGTCACAACAAAAACAAAATTATAATTTTTGCGTCAACAAGTCCTTTCAATATAAAAAAAACTCCAGCTTCCGGTGTTACGCCGAAATACGTTACCTCGTTTGACACCGTTTCCTCGGTAGCTTCGCTGTTTTCAGTCTAACTTCTGGACTTTTTGAGCAATGACACTGTACAGAATGGCTAAAAGTAAGCTTTATTTTGTGTTATAGCAAAGAAAACGTGTCCCGGTGGCTGAATGTCACCGTTAGCGCCAACGTTGTTTCCGGCAGCTACAAAAACACACTCGTTTGTGGAAAGGCTAAGTACAGCTGATGTATTTATTATAAACCACAACTCCTGGGACTTTTTTTTCTTCTGCGCCCAAAGCTGAACACTCAACATGAGAAACACACCTAGATGGCTTTAATTTAGCCGCTATGTGCGGGACAGTGTCACAGGGGAACATATCTCGACACAACATCCCGGCCTGGGTCACTTTTTGTTTTATAGTATAATTGTATTTGTATCGGGGGGTTTCACGTATTGCAGAGCAGTAAACCAGAACAAACACGTGTGTTTGTTCCACTTTAACAATGTAATTACTGTTTATTACATGTTTTTATTCATTAAATGTCTCATTTTGCTGATTATATGTAAGCTGTCGCGTGCAGAAACATCGCCACGTGTAACGTTAAAGCTGCTGTTGTAAATAATGAATGGACGTTTACTCATAAACATGAATCAGTGATAGTAAAGTTGGCTGATATTTGTTTATCCCGGGCGCGCGCGGGCGGAGGAGACTCTCCCCGTGCAGCCGGTGTTTTAATATTCCTCCGGTTAGAGCTGAAATTTGCGTCCCGTCAGCTGTTGGTGCGGATTGTGAACCGGATTTCTCAGGGTCGTTCTGACCCACGCAGCCTCGGCGTGTCGAGTCCACTTCGCATTTTCAGCGACGCCCCCTAAATTCCGTGCAGAGTGTTTGCAGACCCTCCGGGACGGAGAGGTGGAGGAGGAATCGGCAGCTCCGCCGTCCATATACGCTACAATCACCTCGCCTTCAGTCCATGACTTCGTCAGATATTTGACAGGAGAGTCCGGGCCGCGTTCGGAAGGTGAGGTGGGTGGTGTTTTCTCGATGCTTCCTGTTGATTTTCTCCGTGCCGATCTGTCGCCCTTTTCCTCTGGAGCGCGCCGCGCCGCGCCGTGTCGCAGCGACCGCTCGGACTGTGGTCAGCTCGCCGTGGCGTCGGTCCGCTTAGGTAACCTTAATTAGGCTAAAACCATCGATCTGGTTTCCAGATGGACCCTCCGGAGAGCTCGGACGCGTCTACCGCAGTAACACAAGTGTCCCCTGTTCCGTCGGCGGAGTCGTTTTTTCCGTAAATGTGGACCCGGAATGACGCCTGGTCTTTTTTTATCCACAGCAACCGCATCGTTGCGCACCTCGCTCCTCGTCGTCGATAGCAGACAAAAGGCAGGCTGTTTTTCTAAGGCTCGGGTATTTACTCCGTCTCTGCTCGCTTTAGGCTTTGGCTGGCACACATAACAGCAGTCGTCAAAATGTATTTGAAAAGCGCGCTCCACATTTGACCTGCGCATATGCGCATATCTTTGCATATTGTTGTCGCTCTGTTATTGATTGCATTGATATACCGTGAAATTCTTAAAGGGATACTGCCTCCCTTGTATGCGGAAATCCTCCGGCGAGACACACAGCCACACACACACACACACACACACCTCTGCTCCAGGAGTTTTATTCCCAAACCTTACACACATGTATGATTTAAACACAGATTGCTGCTTTTTCTTTCTCTCACGCTGAGAGCTAGCTGTGCTGGGAGCGGTGAAAACATCCCGGTGTTCTTGTTGACTCGGTGTTTGCCTCTCCTACACTTCTATTCTTAACCCTCCTGTCTTCATCCCCTGTTCGTTTGCAGCTCTCCAGGACTCTGAAGCTGCAGCAGAGAATGGGAATAGGGACTCAGGCCAAGGCTTGCCATTTTGGCTGAAGTATCAGCAGGACAGTTGTCAGCCTTGCATCAGCTTCAGCCCCCTTCTCCCCTCACCTCGTCTCCCACACACACTAACGCACAAGGACAAACAGCCCCCCGGCCTCTGCTATGTCCACCGCCGTAGACATCGCCGGCCCTTCCTCCCCAGATCAGGCCCACAGCAGCGCTAAAATCCCCAACGAGCCTCTGAGGCCGAGCCTTAAGCGCTCCAGCCACCCCTACAGCCTCTCCCATTACATCTCCACCCCTTCCCCTGCTGTTGACGTCAAAGGCCTGATCCAGCCGTCCCCAGTCCAGCAGCCTGCCGCCCAGTCCGGCCACACGAAGCCCCGCCGGGCCCCCTCCTGGCCCGACATGTGGGAGTCACCCAGCGGGCTCCACCTGGCCCATGCCGCGGAGCTGCTGATGCGCGCCGGGCTGCTGGCTCTCACCCCTACCACCACAGAGCAGGCCAGCCTGGGTGCACAGAGCAGCCAGCCAGCTAAAAGGGAGGCCGCAGAGGCAAAGGGGGAGAAGGGGGACGGAGAGGGAGGTGGATCTGGGCCTGAGGAGGAGGAAGAGGACTCCTCTGGATGTAGCACTGACTTCCAACCCTTCCTGGGTGCCTGGTTTCCCTTCAGCCCTGCCCTGTTCCCCCTGGCAGGCTTCCAGATGGGTGGAGGCCACTGGAGAAGCGCAGCGGTGGGCGCCGAGGGCATGGAGGGGCTGGTGGCCGAAGGCTACTCCCCTAGCTCTCTGGGAGGAGGCAGCGGAGGCAGGAGGAAGAGGAAGAGGTGCGGCGAGTGCGTACCTTGCCGACGTCAGACGAACTGCGAACAGTGCAGCAGCTGCCGCAATCGCAAGAGGGGACACCAGATCTGTAAATACAGGAAGTGCGAGGAGCTGAAGAGGAAGCCGGGGGGGCTGGGGTTTGACAGCAGAGTGTCCGGGTTCGATCTGAGGGGCTCCGACTTTACTTTGGGTCTGGCACAGGAGAGGAGCAACGGGGCCTTGGATGGATAGTAACTGGTGGTTGTTTGGGGAGCTGTAGTCTATCGCAGTCGTACGGGACACGGCTCTAGCGCGTCGGGACCGAGGTACAAAGATCTGATCCGCTGTTTAGCCAGGAGCTGCAGCTCCGATTAAGAATGTCCACACTCGTTTCCATCCTTTCATTTGACAATCAGTGAAACTGGAGAGGGGAAAAGAAGGATACCAATGTGTGTCGGTACTTAGACGACAACCAAACGCTGTAAATAGACTGTACATATCTGGAAAACACATGTCCTTTTTTACATTGCTTTCCAGTTTGGATGTATTGTGCTTCGACATTAAGAAAAGGAGCCGATATGTTTTTGTTTCTAATGAGGAGTTCTGCTTCTTCTGTTGTTCTGACGTCACCGCATCAGTAAGCAAGGAATGAGTTCAGCCTCGGCTAAATTATTTCATGTGCAACTTGTACTGTATAGCTCTGTTTGCCCTTTTGAAATAAAAGAAAGCTGCCTTGTGCACTTGTCTCCATCTCTTACCTGCGCTCGTTTCTAATTGTGTACGTGTGTCGGTTTGTGGCCATGTTTTCACACACACACACACACACACACACACGTGTGTATGTGTGGATTATGAGTCACCTAATGGTGTGGCTGAGAGCCTTATCACAACCCCACAGACACACACACACACACACACACACACCTACACGCTGCTTTGGCAAGTCCACACAGCCGGGTACACCTAAACCTGACATGCACACACAATCACCCCCCCCCCCCCCCCCCCCCCCCGCTTACTTCTCCTGCTGTTTTATTTTTCACCACTACGCATCACGTCCAGACGCACAGATTTTAAACCAAGCACGCAGCCAGCTGGACCCAGGCTGCAGGGTGGGTTTTTGCTTGTTGCCGTAACGATGGCTGATGTGATAAGACCTTCTTCCTCGGCGCCACACTCCAGGGGACCGCAGGGAAGACGTAACCATGGCAACGGCCGGCCCGAGGTGTCACGCTATAATTGGGCCACGGCTGCACTTCCTGTGAGCCTTCAGTCAGGGGGATCGCAGAGGGACCGTGCGTGTGTATCTGTGTGTGCGTGCGTGCATCTGTGTGTGTGTGTGTGTGTGTGTGTGTGTGTGTGTGTGTGTGTTTTGTCAGGCAGGGAGAGGGAGAGAGAGAGAGAAAGCACTGCACGCCAGCCAACGCAGGACACTGCCAACTCATGGAGAAAAGCAGTGAGCTCCAACATCACGCTATTACAACGCTGCCTCTGAATGAGAGACACAGTGTTGTAGTTTGAGTCCACTCTGGTGTTTCTTCATCTCCCAGACAAAAGGGGAATTTCAAATTCTTGGATCCGTGTCCCCCCCTTCATTCCCCCTTCTCTCCTCAGTGCCTTTTCTAGTGATTTGGAGCTTAATCCTCCTCTCACCTCCCCCCCTCCCTGGTCTTGTCTCACACACACACACACACACTCTCTCTCTCTCTCTCTCTCTCTCTCACACACACACACACACACACACACACCGGAAATCTGTGTCACCCGCTGCCCAGCAGGTCCAGTGACTCCCTGAACGCCTGCAGTCTGGCTCCACTGGCCTGCAAGATGGCAGGAGAGAAAGGGAGGAGGGGGCAGGAGAGAGAAGAGGACGAAGGGGGGAGGGTTGGGGGAGGGGGGGGGGTTGGAAAGCGGATCTGAGGGGATGTGTGGGGAGAGGAGGGGAGGTGGTGAAGGGCAGAAAGAGAGAGAGAGAAGGGGGATGTGGGCGCAGGGGGAGTGCTAGAGAGTGGGTGAAACTGGGAAAGATGAAAAGCAGGCCACAGGGGGAGAGAAAGGAGAAAGAGAGGGACACGCGGGGAGGAGGACGGGGGAGATGGACAGCAGGGGATGGAGATAACGTGGGGCCAAACAAAGACGGAGAGGGAGAGATGAGCGCAGGAGGAGACCAGCAGAGAGATGGAGGGCGAGAGAGATGCAGGTTAATGATATAGACGCATTGTCCAGAGATCCAGAGTGTCGTTACCCCCCCCCCCCCTCCCGTGGAGCCCACATATGTGCGAGCAGTGGCTGTGCCCACTCCTCACCGTGGTTGCAGTGGAACAACCTGCCAGCCCAAGGCGACCTGCTCTGCTGCTGGGCGGGCCTTCGCTCCGGAGCCAGGCCTTTGAAACGCTGGCCACTGTGTTCGCTCGGAGACACTGTGTCTCGTTGTGATTTTTCCCCTCCTCTCTTCCTCCTCTGGCTGCATCCCCAGTGTTAGGAAATGCAACAGCTTCAGAGAAACGGCCTCTCACTGCTCCCGCTGTGTTCACGCGCAAACAGAAACAAGATCCGGCAAAAACTCGTGCTCATCTCCCCCTCAGGTAATGTTTTGGTGACACCGGGGTCAAAGGGGACTCTTGACCTTTGACACTTAAAGCTCCTGAAGGTGCTTTTAGAATAGACTAGATTCTCTGAACAGCACCGTCCCAGTTTGGTCACATACCTCCAGAAACAGTCAAAAACTTCCAAAGAAAAGTCTTATTCGTTAAAGCCCTCTGACACTTTGGTCCTTGGTGGTAATGTGTACAAAAGTCTGTTAATCTGTAGCTCACTCCCGGCGTTTTAAAGGTGTGGCGGTTCTAAGACGATAAACCACGAGGATGAAGTCTGTTGCCTGCAGGGCTGTTTCATCACGACTTGTTTGGACTCCACTTTATGCTGAATGGACACTTTCACACAAAAAACCCAGCCGGAAACTCGAACAGAACCGAACTCAACACAAACGGCAAGAGAACCTGTGTTCATTTTGTTGTAACTATAAGTCCTTTATCAGGCTGGCTGAACTTTTGGCAGATCTATTTAAACTGTTAATACTAAACAGATGTAGTAGCACTGACACATGACCTGTTAATTATCCTTGCTGGCAAACAGCTGTCCGATGGATGGATGGATTTTATGAAACCGTCAGAAAGTAGCGCCACATTTGAGTAATAGTAGCAAACATGGAAATGGTGTCCCTCAGGGTTCTGTACTAGGGCCATTGTTGTTTTACTGTTTGCTCCCTCTTGGTCCCATGCTATCTTTTAATGACACCTTCTATCATTGTTATGCAGATGATATCCAGTTGTAGATTTATATTCCTGCAGATGTCATTTAAAAATTGAACATTCTACCAAAAACCCTCGATTCTGTTAAAATATCGGCGAACGTTTTCATTTTTTTTATTATTAAATGAGGAGCAAATTGAAACATTTATCTTTGTGGGTATTTGTTCAGATTCAGACAAATGAGATCCTTGGACCTGTAGGCATTTTAGCAAAATTTACTATTAGACACCTTTGGGATGACCTTTGACCCAGGTTTTAAGCTTGATGCCCACGTCAGATCTCCGGATAAATCCTGTTTTTAATCATTTGACAAATGCTGCCTAACTTGGCTCCAATGTCTCTCATGCTGAAATGGAAATTTTAATTCCTGCTCTCGTTTAGTCTTGCCTAGATTATTATAATGCACTTTACACACATCTGACAACGTAGACCAGCTGCAGACGGTACAACATGCTGCTGCAAGGCTGTGACCAAATCCTCCAAATGAACTCATGTGACTCCTCTACTAATGCTGCCCCCCCCCCCCCCCCGCCCTGAGATCAGTGGACTTCTCTGTACAAATCAAGTTTTACTAACTGACAATAACTAAAGTAAAGTAAATAAGTAAAGTATTCAGCTACATTTCCTTACTGTAGCAGCCAATCCCTCCTACTCTGTACCTCAGCTGATGGGCCCGTGTCACAGCGACAGACATTTTGACCTGAAAGTGAGGGGAACGCTCAGGTGTGATAAAGAGGACTGCATTCCACTTTTGCCTTTGGTTGACAGGTAGAACTTAATGGAAATGGAACAAAACCAGTTTTGTTTAAGGATCTTTTCAAAGTTCATTGGAATCGGTCTCATCCAGATGTCACGTGTGTGTGTGTGTGTGTGTGTGTATTATTTATATATTTAAAGTGAGATTCCCTACTGCTTCCATGTGATTCCGACAGTAATGCACCACAGCGTGATTTGCCTAGGGCCATGCAAATGAGGAAGACGCCGTCCTCAGATTACACTGACCAGAACTCTGCTCCGCTCAGTGGATACTCCTCCCTGCTCATGTAGTGTTCAGTATTACATTTACCTAAAAAAGTTAACATCTTCAATGGTTCTGGAAGCTGCGGGCGGCTCATAAGCGTAGAAGGGTTCCCGCGTTTAGGTCTGGTTTTCCAGCTTTAATGAGACAATCTCACCGATTAGTCAGACAAGTCTTTTTATTCTCTTTAAAACACGGAAAGGACATTTAGATCAATGGTCCTGGGATCATCGTGACGCTTTATATCTGATTCTGACTGATCTAATCTCCCTCTGTTGCTTTTCAAAGCTGCAGCTAGTTTCTGCGTTGCTGAGTCCCTCTGGCTGTTATTAACTTCCCAAAACCGTGACAGCCAGGACGAGCACAAGACTGCTTTCTCAAAGAGCTCTGAAACCTTTCTAGGACATTTAGCATAACTTGCTAATCTGAACCCTTTTTTGGGGGTAAATTATTAAATAAAATTTCCAAACGGACTAAACAAAACGGACTTGGGGGCTCAAATGAAAGAATAGATTTTTGAACAATCAGTGTCTTACCTGATGTAGATAGCTCTGTAGACTACCTCAGTTTGGAGAAATACAGATTAGTTTAGAAAAACTGGCAAGCTAACGGCTAGTCATTAGCTGTGAAAGCAAATCAAATTCCTGCCATCCTTAAAGATGTGGATTACTGAAAAAAACATTTTAAATGATTATTTCTGATTATAATCGGTCACAGGCTGAACATGAAACTAGTCTCCTACACCTATCTCCTGCATTCCCTTACCAAAAAGAAGTACACTTAAGTATACTTGAAATTAGATACTTAAAGTATACTTCTTTTTCGTAAGGGTTAGCCTCTAGAGTTAGAAAAGCCTGACAGATCTACGTCACACTCTCACTTAACATTCAGACACTCACCCATCTTGACTCGTGACTGGGAAGGCTGTTGTTGGTTTGGCGTCCAGGAAAAAGCAGAGCAGTAGCGGTTTTAGGCACGGGCAGACAGGGCAGTTGCCCGGGGCGGCATTTTTTCATGACACAAAAGGGGCGCACAAGCGCAGAGTAAAAAAAAAAAAAAGGAAATCTGCGCCGCACCGAGGTTTTCTATTATCTGTCATATGACAGTGTCTGGATTGGAAACAGCAAGTTGGCGCCCCCTGCAGCTGCAGGCGCTCCTGCTGACTGAGAACGTTCACGTGCACCGTGTGTCTATGAAGAACAGGAAGGGGAGGGGTGCGGCGGGGGAATTCACCTCTGCGTCTTTCCCAAATGAATGAGCGTGCAGGGGCTGAATCAACTGTATTAACATGGCTAAAGTCAATCACATCCTGATGTTCTTCCATATTTCATTCATAATATCATAAACACAGGCCTATAATTCTTTCAGGTTTCTCTGAATTGTGTGAAATGGCCGAATAAAAAAAGGAA